GCATTGCCTCGGCTTTCCATTCCTTCCCAGTGTCCCTTTCCGTGCCTGCTACTTTCTCATTCTTTGACATGGGTCCTCAGTCAGTGTTTTGACGGGGGTGAAATCAGGCGTGGCAGAAAACAAGATCCTTTGCAAGACGCCAAATATCATACTGCCTTGAACTGGCATTCTGCTTTATAGCACAGCAGCTCTCTGCGGGGGAAACATTGGTCCTAGCTGGACAAGCAGCGGGAAAGCTTGCCAGAACAGCGATGTCAATGGCAAGCTATGTAGATTTAGCTGGTTAGACTCCAGCAGTTACTCCCCACCGCACACTCTGGGATCCCCAAGCCTTGGCTCTTGCCAACCTGCGACTAATACTTTCCGGAATTTCCAGGGAGAGAGAGAGAGAGAGAGAGAGTTCGCATTCCATTTCAACAATCTATAGCTCTGGGATTTCCATGTGTAGTGTGGGATTCTCAGTTTGGTTTTTATACTCTTAAGCATGGCGATGGGTTTCCACATGTGCCCAACGTTTCACTCTGCCCGGGAATCGAACCTGGGTCCTTTCGCTTGCGAGGCGAGTGCTCTAACCACTCAGCTATAGGACTTGCTACAGGAATTAGGCAAAAAATTGGTCACTCAATCCATGACTGTTTGTGGGAAACTGCTGTGCGCAATTGGCTGCTGCATTTCTCCCACAAAATACACAGTCCATTGGCTTGACAGTATATTCTGTGAAGCACTTTGAGACGTCTCAATGACGTCATAAGGCGCTATATCAGCAGCAAGGATTATTATTATTTTCAGATTGCACAACTTCAAGATTTCTTGCGAAGCAACTTTTGTTGAGGGACAAGTGAAATTGGTCGCCGACACGTATTTCAGTTCCGAAGGTTTGAAGGTTGTAAGGAATGCTGTGTTCCATCTGTCTAAGTCAATGTCAGTCTGAAAATCCCTTCTGGTTAACATCTGCTGTGAACTGAAATCAGCTGGAACACCCATCTCCTCGCCTGTCTACTCCCTGCGCCTCGAAACCATGCCTTGTTACTGGCTCGATGTTGCGAAGTGGCTGCCTTTCAATAATGACCAGATAATGAGAGAGACCTAGGAAGCCCTCAGTCTATAGGAGGGGAAGTGTACATCATCTTAAAAGTAGAGCTAGGCCAGTTAGGAGTGAAACCGGAAAGCGTTTTATCACACGAAGGCTTGTGGAAATCTGGAATTAGCTATTTGTTGGTTAAGGGTATCAAGGGATATGGCGAATGGGTGGGTAAATGGGGTTGAGGTAAGCATCCGCCATGATATAAAAGGTTGGTGGGACAGGCTTGAGGGGCCGAATGGCTTCTCCTGTTCCCATGTACCATCTTGCCTTGCTTTTGATGTGCCATTAATCCTCCCACCTTCACTCCCTATGCGCTCCAGCCCTCTTGACTCCAACCCGCAGCTCGGGTGCAAACCCTTCACTGTCCACGCCTTGGGACATCCTTGCGACGCGAAAGCCGCTATGCAAATGCAATTTGTTGTTGTTGTTAGGAGATAGTCTTCTTTCGTGAACGAATAGGTGAATAACTTGCAATCCACTTCTACTAATACTAATAATACTAATTATTACTGTTACTATACTATAACTAATACTAATAATCTTGCATTTGATGCAGCGCCTCACCACGTCGCTGAGACGTCTCAAAGCGCTTCACAGGATTCACTGCAAAGTAAATTGGCTGTATATTTTGTGGGCGAAATGCGGCAACCAATTGCGCACTGCAGTTTTCTGTGTTCGGTCTCCTTTCCAGTTGTACGCAGTTCATTATATGTTGGATATTCATCTTGTGAAAAGCCTGGATTTGGCAGATTTACTGCAAAGGTGTGTAGCTCCATTGCTCAGCCTCATCAGCTAAATACCTAACAAGCCGTGTCCAATCACCAGTTGTAATGCAAACCCTTATATCCAAATAATAATAATCCTTGCGCACTTGTTCACGTTAGGAGGACATCCCAAAGTACTTTCACAGTATATGCTGTGAAGTGCAGTGAGCATGCATTTTGGAAGCACACGTGGCAGCCAATTTGCACACAGCAGTGTCCAACAAACATGGTTTTTCGGGTAGTAATAATTCCTTCAAAAAGAAATAATAATGGAGTTGAGGTACAGATCAGCCACGATCTAATAGAATGGCGGAACACGCTTGAGGGGCTGAATGACCTCCTCCCGTTCCGATGATCCTATTAAAAATGTAGTGTAGCTTGTGAGTCGGTTGTTGGTTTGCAAAGCTTACCTTTTTGGGGTGGGGGAGTATGGTGGTGGTTGGGAGGAGAAAAATAAAGTGACTTCAGAGCAATAACCTGTCAAGGGGTCATTATTACACAGCCCTGACAGATATGAAGTGAACCGGTGCAAATCTGGCTAGTTATTGCGTTCCAGAGCTGCCCGTAAATTCTTAGTTTGATCCGAGAATAGCACGTGGCTGATGGAAAAATCGATTTCATTTAGAGGCTCTCATCAGCAGAGCTGTTGAGACGACAGCTATCTACTGACAGCGAATTGCATCGGCCAATAAAGCTTGGCAATGAACGCTTTGTGTGTCTTGAATGGTCTGGAGATTGGAAAAAAAAAGAACAATTTAAAGGAAAAAATGGGAGGAGGCTTTGTTGGAGATTTCTGTGGTTGGGGCCAAACAATATTAGCTGTCAAGTTGAAAGCACTCGGAGACGTGCAGGGAAGATTGGAATTGTCAGTACATAAGAGACTTGATTAATTAAGGCTTATCTGTTCTCTTATGCTGGATCGCAGTATACCGTCATTAATAACAGGCAAATAATGGGGTGTAATCAAAATGGATTAGGTGGGAGATTGCTAGAGCACGGAATTGGATAACGTGCTCTTCTGGGCCTTGGTTGACCTTGAACTGATTTGAGTTCGTTTTTCAACAGAGAAACGTGGTAAGATTTATTCGAGGGAATGATGGCTCACAATTTCAGCCGGAATAAAAAGGTCACACACCGTGAGAGGCTAGCCTCTCGGCCATATTCTTTTTATTTGATCTCGCAAAAGAGGTTACTTGTTTCTGCGGGGAAGATTGGTATTTATTGGAGGCCAGGGTGGGGGAAAGGCAGCGGGAGAAAATCTCTTATGTCTCGTTGCTTTTGCAAACGTCTGCGGTGTCTTCTGAACAGAATGCTTGGCTTCAATGAGACTTTGAGGGCTGCAGAAGTATGTTCATCACGAATATCCTCTCAATTGCTGTATGTTTAATTGCTGAGTTTAACGTCTGGTCTATCCTTCGGTTGAGACGTTTGCCTGTTCAGGTGGACGTTCGAGATCCCATGCCTCTCTTTGAAAGGAGAAGGGAGTTTCTCCTGGTGTCCTGGTCAACAATCCCCCAAATAAAATCAATCGTCCACGTCATGACTGTTTGTGGGACATTGCGCGCAAACAACAACGACAACTTGCAATTATATAGCGTGCTTAAAACTAGCGTTCGTCTACAAAATACAATTACTACACTTCCTATGCCATCATATCAAATTCAAAGATTCTTATTATTATTCGAGTTAAGAATGAACTTGGCAAATTCAGAAGTGAAATCCTATAGAAATAGTCATTTTAGACTCAGGTGGAATTTCTTCCCAATAGAATAATAATGATAATCCTTGCATTTGATATAGCACCTCATCACGTCTTCGAGACGTCTCAAAGCGCTTCACACAATATACTGTAAAGCAAATTGACTGTGTATTGTGCGGCAAGACGCAGCAGCTAATTGCGCACAGCAGCGTCCCACAAACACACGTGGATTACTATTCTCCTCTGACTCCTTTTTCTGGTAACAGGAAGTAACTTGGAGGTTACCGACATCCAACACGCCTCGCCCAGTTGACACGCGGTGATGTTGACATTCGCACTAAAGCGCTAGCAATCCGGATACAATCACTGTAAATTTATCAAGCAACCCTTCGCAGTTGATTACCAGGAAAGAAACGCTGTCAGTCTGCATTAAAGCTCCGTCTCTCTGCACTCTGTGCTCTTAATCCTACTCCACCGCCCCCCCCCCCCTCCCCCCAACACCCCTGTCCCCTTCCAAATCACTCTCCAACCATGTCTGAAACTCTAGCTTTGAATCGCTGATGGATTTCAATGTTTCCACGACTGAAGGCAGCTTCCAAGCGACAATCTACCACAATCTACCAGGAGATGATCGAGCCATCTGTCTTACCTTTGAGATGACGAGCAGCCATTATTAACATAGTCATTTTGAACATACTAAGGATTGTGATAGGTATTCATCACCGCACTGGATAGGCAACATGCGGGATTGTTTCTGCACAGAGTGTCTTGCTCAGCCATGGCGCTAGTGATTGAAATGACACTTTAGATGCTTATTTCCGTGATACGGATTCACTCCGTCAGTCAGAGACCGACCAGCATTCGTCTGCAGAGCACAGTTACTGCACTTCCCAAGATGTGATGTGATAAGGCATCATATTGAATGCAAAGGTTATTAATGTTATAATTCAGAGCTAAGAATCAACTTAGCAAATTCGGACGTGAAATTCTACAGGAATAGAGTAATTCTTAGACCCGGTTGGAATTTCTACTCCAATATATTGAAGGAAACTCGCCTCTGTTGACCTAGCAGTAACTAGGAACCGGTTGTTAGTCGATCGGCCGATCGCTTTTCCGGGGGTAATAATCCCTTCCAAAAAAAAATAATAATCTTGTGACTCAATGCACGGCTGTTTGTGGGGACGCTGCTGTGCGCAATTGGCTGCCGCGTTTCGCCCACAAAATGTACAGTCAATTCACTTCACAGTATATTGCGTGAAGCGCTTTGAAACGTCTCGAAGATGTGATGAGGCGCCGTATCAAATGCAAGGGTCATTATTATTAATAGAAAAATACGGCATCAGCTCTGAAGTGAACCCACGCTTCCTTCTTGTACTCGGATTGTTGTAACTCATAGCTTGCGAATGGATGAGTGAAGACTGAAACACTTGTACTTCTCACCCTCTTATTGCAGTGACACATCGAGCTACCAGTCGTACAGAGAACCGAGAACCGATGAACAGAGAACCGAGAAGCCGAGTGCAATATTGGCAACCACAGGTATCAATGGATACAGCAAGGCCAAGGAAAATAGACATCAAAACCACCACAGAGTATGCAGGTAGGAGGCTGACTTTTCTAGGTCCATCCATCACCCACCCATCCAACCTCACCCACCCCACTGCATCCATCCTGGAGTCCTGTAGTATAATAGTTAGAGCACTTGCCTCGCAAACAGGGGTTCGATTCCCAGGCAGACGAAACCTTAGACAAGTTTCCTTACTCCACACGCCTCTGCTTACCTAGCAGTAAGTAGGAACCTGGTTGTTCGTCGCTTGCCGGATCGCTTTTCTGCAGGTAATAAACCCTTCAAAAAAAATAATAATAATAATTTGGTCAATCATTCCTCGACCGTTTGTGGGATGCTGCTGTGTGCAGTTGGCTGCCGCGTTTCGCCCACAAAATACACAGCCAATTCGCTTTACAGTATTCCCTGTGAAGGGCTTTGAGACGTCTCAACAATGTTTTAAGGCAATATATCAAAGTAAAAGGATCATTATTAGTATTATTATTAAGTAACTGCCCGTTAGTAACAGTAATAGCAAATTACACTCTTGCAGTTGGGGTAAATGTCTGGAACATGAGTAATTACAGTATTATAGTAAGGAGACAGGTCCTTGCTCTGGATTTTCAGGTCTATTTCATACATTTACATTCTCTCCATCTGTGCGCTCAAAGTGGCACATTTCCTCGGTAAATAGATTACCGGGAACAAACGATGGCAATTATCGAAACAAAATGATTTAGGCGAGCGAATTTAGGAAGTCGAACAGGAGTTAATGCAGTTTTAATTTCGTAATTTTCAATATTGGCTTCGAGAAGGTCCCAGAGGACAGATCAACAGAGTGTACGCTTTATTTAGACAGCGACAGGCAGAATGTGTTCAGTAGAACAATGCGAGTTAGGTTTTGGGAGGCTTTGAAGGTCTGACCTAGCCACCAGAGGGAGATTTTGCTTTAATTCGAGAGCACTTTGAAAGCATAATGTGACAAGACACGATGAATTAAATTAATAACAGCCTTCCAGACACGGTCACATCAAGTAACCAATTAAGCAGGCCAGCGATATCTGAGCGAGGGGAGAGGGGGGGTGGGGAAGAAAATGGCCTTTATCACAGAGTACCAAGGAACAGTTTGAGGCACTCATTAAAATAAGCTGAGATGTAAGGGGAGAAAAAAAATGTAAATGCATGGTTGGGAATGTTAAGTGCGTTCCATCTGTGACTTTTTTTTTACTCGTTATCTCAGATTACATGAAATAATACTGTAACTGGAATACGTTATTATGATTGGTAGCCATAGGTACTTTTAAAAAAAACCCTGGCAGAGAGAGTGAAAAAAATCCCATTAAAATTCTCATCGCCAACATCTGTTTGGAAGCAGGGTTTCTGGTTGTCGTGAACACTTTGCACTGCACGATATCCAGACTGCACATGTCTTTTCAGCTCTAGCAAAAGGAGGTTGTCTGTGTGTGGGGCGGGGCGGGGGGTGGGGGGGGGGGGGGGTGGCGAGGGGTAATTAAAGAGGTGCTGTAGAGATAAGGGCAGCACAGGCTTGATGGGTCAAATGAGTTCTGCTGCTGTTCATTATTACCTAGAATAATATTAATTAATCCTTGATGCAGTGCCTTTTGCCTCGGGATGGCTTCTCACAGCACTCCACGGGATTTACTGTGAAGCGCAGAGGCTGTGTGTCTTACCGGCAAACACGGCAGCCAATTTGCGCACGGCGACGTCCCTTACTTCCTTCAAGGCCCATCTCAAGACCCTCTTCTTCAACTGCGCCTTCGATCACCCTCCAACCCCTACTCTCCCTGCCCTCCACCCCTCCTGATCCCAACCTCCAGCTCGGGCCCAAATCCCTGACTGTCCAGCTCCTTGGGACGTCCTCCCGACATGAAAGGCGCTGTACAAATGTAATTTATTGTTGTTTTTGTTGTCCCACAAACCACCTTGAAGTGAACGACTGATTTTATCTTTTACGTGCAACATACAGAAGCCCCGACTGTACATGGGAGTTTACGTTCTGCAGCAAGAAGGTTATATAAGCGACGTGGGTTGTCATGATGGGGGGATGGGATAGCGAAAAATCTTTGGCCGCACTATTAAGTCTTAACTTTTCAGCCATAAATAACTTTTGAACAAGCTCTGCTTATATAAGAGCGAAGCAATATGTTCAAACCCAGTTAAAGTGGACAAATAATGGCAGCTCTTAACGTTAACGTTTGCTGGAAGATTGCTCAACGAGGTCACCGCATTGTGTTTCTGTGCCCGAAGTCAGAACTCATTTGGGTTTCCGTCCATTATGCCTCAAGGATAAATGCCTAACGGCGCAAGTCTTGTTGCTGTGCGATTCTGGTGACGATCATATCTTGCAAACAACAATCCACACAATGCATTTTATGCAACGTGTGCAATGTCCACCAGCATTAATTTATTGAAGAAATGTCAAAAGTAAGTGAAGCAAATTCACATTCTGTGTTCTACGGAGACAAAGCTAAGCAAAGCTACCTGCTCCATTTCACTTAACGTTGTTTTTACATTGCTCACCCAACACCCCCCCCCCCCCACCCTCCCGCCATGCAATGCCCACCGAGGTCCTGCCTCTGGGAGAAAGCTCCCAGTTGTCGGAGACGAGTAACTTAAAGATCCCATTGCGCTGTTCGAAAAGAGAACAGGGAGCTTCTCTCTCTCTCTCTCTCTCTCTCTCTCTCCCCCCGATGTCCCCCAAGTCAAAATTGGTCATTCTCTCCACGGCCGTTTGTGGGACGTTGCTGTGGGCGAATCGGCTCCCGCATTGGCCCACAAAATACACAGTCACTACATGTCATATTCAGAGCCGGGGAGAGAGTGTGCAATCCATTCCAACAATCTATCTCTGGGGTTTCCACGTGTAGGTGGGATGCACGGAATTCTCAGCTTGGTTTGGAGACTCTTAAGCAACGGTGATGGGTTTCCAGGTGTGTCAGACACCCGGCTGACCCCCACCCAAATAAAAAATTAGTTGGGAAACAAAGCCAGTTTTATCAAATTGCAAGGTTAAGATTGGCTCATTTGTAACCACTTCTCTCAGCAGATCCTGCCATTCCGCTCGCTCTCCTCTGCCTCCGTCCAGAGGGAAGAAGAAGAAAAAGAAATCAGAGCACAAGAGAAAGCGGTGAGCGGGTTTACATTCACCACATTCCCTGCGTCTTGTCTCCTAAAGTGCCTGTACCTGTGTCTCACACACTCCCGTATCTCACACACCACCCAATTCACACACACCGACTGTCCTTACACACACTGCCTGTCACACTCCACCTGTATCTCACACCACTGCCTGTATATCTCACTATCTCACACGTTGCTTCTATCACTAATCTCAAAGGGGCTTCTCAAGATGTACCATGAAATGATGTGACTGTGTGTATTTTGTGGGCGGAATCTAGACCCAGGTGGAATTTCTCCCCACTCAAAGTAACAATGAATCCAACTGATATTTCTGAGCGGGGTTTGTTGTTGTTGTTGTTGTTGTTGTACGTGTGGTGGGGGTGTGGCTGTTAACCCGTGCCTCGTTTTTTTCCAGGTCGCCTTCTTATAGCCCGGCCCCGGCGAGAAAGAAGAAAAAGAAAAGCTCTAAAAAGCACAAACGAAACAGGTAAAGGTGAAAGCGTGTGACGGTCACTGTGAGCAGCACAGAACATGCGAGGTGAGGGGAGGTGAGGCGAGGCGAGGACGTTAGCCACTACGCTACAGGGACTCCAGAGGCAGAAATGTTACTGACCGCCAGAGTGACACACGGCTGACCATTCTTAGACCTGAAAAATGTATTGCGAATGTTCACTAACCTGATTGTGCTTGTGATGTACTTGTGTGTGCGTGTGTGTGTGTGCGTGTGTGTGTGCGTGTGCGTGTGGTAGGCTTGACTGGGCATCCTCTATAGTCAGGGGACCTGCCAACATTGACTGGCAAAGGTCTCATATGAGCCATGGCCATCGTGGGGTGGGTGAGGTGGGGTGATGGGTACCCGAGAGCAATCAGTGTCCATGAAAACCTCGCCGCAGCCAGAGGAGAGGCCAGACCATGAGGTCAGAGGCGAAACCCAGTGGGGAGAACATTAGAGAAAAATAATAGGACCCACTAAATGTATTAAAATTAATAATAATAATTCTTGCTGTTGATTTAGTGCCTTATCACGTCTTCGAGAGCGCTTCGCAGGATATACTGTAAAGCGAATTGACTATATTTGTGGGCGAAACGCGGCAGCCAATTGCGCACAGCAGCGTCGCACAAACAGTCGTGGATCGAATGACCAAATTATTATTTTTTTTGGAAGGGATTATTATCCCCGGAAAGCGATCCGCCAATCGTCTAACATCCGGGGTTCCTGCTTACTGCTAGGTAAACAGAAGCGTGTGGCGTAAGAAAACTTTCCTGAGCTTTTGCCCTGCTCAGGATTTGAGCATTAAATTAATGGATTTTAAGCTCAGATATATTTTTAGCTTGACTGCACATTTTATAGTTGATTGCACATTTTGGGCTGTGTACTGATAGAGAGGTGCCTTTCAGCTAACCCTTCACTGCACAGTCCTTGTTGAACTCCACTTGGAATTAGTTTTAAATTAAAGAAAATGTTTATGTCTAATCCTCTTGAGTGCAGCTCTCTTTCATTAGTTTCATTGCAAATTGGGAGTAATTGCTTCATTTGCCTCCATCTCCGGGGGAAAATATGTGAAAAAGAAACTTGATCTGTAAAAGGTGCCTGAAATTTCTCAAACGCTAAAATAACTCTATTTTGCAATTTTTATTTAATAATAACAATAATAATAATAACAATAATAATAATATAATAATCCTTACATTTGATTCTTGCTATGTGCCTTTCGCATTGGGAGGACAAAATGTTTTACGGGATTCAGTGTAAAATGCAGTGGCTGTGTAATGATAATAATAATAATAATAATCCATGCATTTAATACAGAGCATTATCACATTGTTGAGTTGTCTCAAAGCGCTTCACAGAATATATTGTAAAGTGGGTTGATTGCACACAGCAGCGTCCCACAAACAGTCGCGGATTAAGTGAACAATTTTTTCGGGGGAAGGGATTATTACCCCCAGAAATCGATCCGCCAATTGACTAACAATCGGGTTAATTACTATTACTACTGCTAGGTCAAGTGAGGCGTGTGGAGTAAGGAGACTTGCCTAAGCTTTCCCCCTGCCTGGGAATCGAATTAGGTTTCCTCAAACCGCTAGGCTACAGAACTCCACAGCTTTATATTTTATAGGCGATCGCAGCACCCAGTTTGTGCACAGCTATGTCCCCACAAACAGCCGTGAAGTGACCGATGGATTTTTATTTGCATTATCCGCAGGTCAGACTCAGCCTCCACGAAGAAACGACGACACAGGTAAGGAAGCTTTAAGAATTAAAGTTGGCAACGAATCTGGTCTCCGGCTTGCTTGTTTTTTTTTCTTCCTGTCATTTCACGTTGCTGTCTGATCGATGAAGGAAAATGAGACGTTTTGTTTTTTGCTTTTCCAGCTCTGCGAGTCCACGAAGGAAAAGGAAAGAAGAGAAAAGACATCGGAGACGGTGAGAACGCAGACATTTGCTAGACAGCTCTTTGTCCCCGTAATAATAATGAGAATAATAAGAATAATCCTTGCATTTGCTGTAGCGATTATCACATTGTTGAGACGTCTCAGAGCGCTTCACAGGATATGCTGTAAAGTGGATTGACTGTGTATTTTGTGGGTGAAACGCGGCAACCAATTGCGTACAGCAGCGTCCCAGAAAACTTCATGTAGAGCATTTGATATAACGCCTGATCACGTCGTAGAGATGCCTCAAAGTGCTTCACAAGGGTATACTGTAAAGTGGATTGACTGTACTTTTGTGGGCGAAATGCGGCACAGCAATTTGATACAGTACCACAACCCTGCCCCCCTCTCCCAGTGCTGGATTGAGGATTGAGTGACCAAATCTTTGTCTAGACTGGGCGTCAGGTTTAAATTCAAGGCAACCTTCTTGCATGCGGTTGGTCCATTAATGATCTGCTGACGTTTAATCTATTTCATTGCTTTCTATTGAAGCAACACACAATGTACATAACCCTTCCAATCCTTCGAGTGAACTTCTGCCAGCACATCACGACTGCAGAACAGCACTGCTGACTACCTGAGCTCCCCCCCATTTCCTTTCTTGCGTCTTATCTTGTAATAATAATAATCCTTGCCTTTGACACAGTGCCTTATCACGTCGTAGAAACGTCTCAAAGCGCTTGACAAGATATACTGTAAAGTGGAGAGACTGTGTACTTTCGTGGGCGAAGGCGGCAGCCAGTTTGCGTACAGCAATGTCCCACAAACAGCCACGGAGTGAGTGACCAATTTATTTTAGGGGCTTGTTGGCCAGGACACCGGGAGAGAGAAACCCCCTTCTTTTTTCAAATAGTGCCATGGGATCTTTAACGTCCACCTGAACAGGCAGACGGGACCTCGGTTTAACGTCTCATCCGAAGGACGGCACCTCTGACAATGCAACAGCCCCCCCCAGGACTGCATTGGTATGTCAGCTTAGACTATGTGATTCCAAGTCCCAATGTGGGGCTTGAACCCACGACCTTCTGACTCGAATGCGAGAGTGCTACCACTGAGCCAGGCTGAGGCATGTTCCAGGTGGTTTGATGCTTTGCGTGGCTGGAATCCTAGTTCGGTCTTGTAAGTGACATGGTTGTTACGTGCCCCTTGAATTGCAGTTGTTGGAAACAGGGAACTCGATCAAGTGATACATGGGAGCCAGGACATTGGCCTACGAACAGTTATTGCTGGAGAGGATGGCTTTTGCTCAGAGGAATTGACCACTTAAACTTGTCAAGGGAAGCAGGGAAATAAAAGAATATTTATTTAGGTTCCCTGGCAGCCTCTCCCGGTGGCCTTATGAAATTATTAGGGCAAAATATTTCCTTTGGTCGGAAACAGACTGAGGATAATTTCCTCCAGAATTCTTCTCTCCCCACCACCTTCCCCCTACCCACACCCACACCCACACCCACACTCCCAAATAGTCACCACAAAGAGAAGACTGAAGAGCGATACTAATGGGGCTCTTGCAAGGTCAGAGCATTGTAATGAAATAGCTGAAAAATACAGATAATATTTCCTCTGTTACCAGCCGAACACTGAGAATTTATTGGTATCGTTTCATCCCTTCCGCAGGTAGCAACTTACTCGACTGATTTTCATCGAATACATTTTCCCCATAGGTTCAGAGCTATAATAGGAATCGTTCATCAGATAAATCTGCAGTGCAGCACAGCAAGAGGTTTCATAGAGATACAAGAGACAATTCGCTTGCTTAGACACACAATATTCCTGGAACGTTGATAAAAATAATCCTTGCGTTTGATGTAGCGCCTTATCACATCGTTGAGACGTCTCAAAGCGCTTCACTGAATGGATTGTAAAGTGGAGTGACTGTGTATTTTGTGGGCGAAACGCGGCAGCCAATTGCGCACAGCAAAGTCCCACAAACTGTGTGGATTGAGTGACCCGATTGATGTTTTTTTGAACGGATTATTACTCCCGGAAAGTGATCCGCCAATCGAAGTGATCCCAGGTCCTCTCACTTTTGAGGCGAGCTCTCTCACCAATAGATTCCACATCGTATATCATAATATATATATATATTCCATCGAATATTATGATATTATGATGTGACCGTACAAGGTGATACAGGGTGAGCAAAAAGTCATGATACTATTACAGTATCTGATAAGTCTTGAAGAAATTATGATATTTAGAGGTTTTTTTAGATAATAGGGCAGTTATCACATCGTTTTGGTCACCCTATATATGCTCTAACCAATACACTAGTGGATTAGAAATGGTCAGGGTGATTCTCAGCACTGATCACCTCTCTTTCTTGTGTCCCAATAAGATCTTGGAGTGGGTCACCTTCACGCAAAGCACACAGAGGGCGACGCTCCATCACAAGGAGCTCAGGCTCCAGCTGTTCCAGCAGGTAAATCAGAGCCTCTTTCCCCCAATTCTACGCTTACACCCCATTCAATCAGTCACAGCACCAGCATTTTATCACCACTCTATCATACAGTAAACCTCACATAAGTGGTCTCACTTGGAACCATACATTTAACATGACTTATGCAAAGCATGAGCTATATCAAACTTGCAGAGAATATAAAGTCTTGAACAGGACTTGGGCAGGTTTATGACTTAGATGTTCCTCAGTTTCCCCTCCTTCCACCCTCGCTCTCTCTCCCTGCCCTCCATTCTTCTCCCCTCACTCCCAAATTTGGAAGCTGTCTTTGAAACAAACCTCCCTGATGGAATGCAGGGATTTGAACCTGCGTGGAAATTTCCACCCAGATTTCCTGTTGCCATCACCGCAAAGTTTCTTTGTATTTCAAGCAAACCCAAATTTTCTCTCTCTCGTCCGTCCCTCCCTCCCTCCCTCCCTCCCTCTCTAACACAGGGCTGATGTCCAGAAATGGTGTTGGGGAAAGGGCAGTTGAACGGGACTCTTAAAAGGAAACGGCACAGACAGGATAGACCGAATAGCCTTCTCCTGTGCTGTAAATAGCTAACGTTCTAGGCAAAGCAAAGCTCCAAAATGTGCTTTTCCCCCACTCCGACCAAAATAAACCCACATAAGCTGATTCCCCTTTCCCCAAGGGAGAACATTGCTCTGTTTTCCCCATTATAAGAGAACACAGTTCAATCTTAGGGCAGTTTCTGCTGTGGACTTGTCTCTTGCTGGGAACTCCGAGGAGGGTGGGAATTGTCTCAAACATAATCCGACTGCCGGAGAGGCAAAACAGACGTCCCACCAGCACAGGGCTGGGTTTAAACCAAGGTCTGAGAAGACGTCTCATTTTACAGCACATTGTGTCCTTTTTGGGAGTGAAAGCTTACAAGATGGGAAGCTTTGCACAACGGGTTAGGTAAGTTAGCAGCTGCACCAGATGTTTGGCTTCGTAAAGGGTCAACATAATGACTCAGACCTCCACCCCATCACGACTGCGTGCATGAGGCGAGCGAGCAAGCGAGCATGTGAAAGCATCTCTGGCACACTTCATGTTGGTCGACTAATGCACTAATGTCTCTAACGTTAACACTTTCAGTGGAAAGTCACAGAGTGGTTCTCTATGCGCCGAGGGGCAGTTTGTTCCTCAGCATTACATACACCAACACCAACCTGCATTTATGTTGCACCCTTCACGTGGGGTAGCATCTTGGAGAGCTTAACGATGGCGGAGTTTGACGCTGAGCCGGGGAGAGAGAGGATGTTACCGTAGGCACGGTCGAAGAGGAAGGTCTTCAGTTGCGATCTGAAGATGGGTAAAGAGGGGGCAAGGCACAGGGATTGAGGCAGTTGACCAATTTTATCTAGTGAATAGTTGGCCAGGACACCAGGAGAAACTCCCTTCTCTTTAAAAGCATTGCAGAGGTATTTTTTAATGTCTTACCTGAACAAGGTAGCTCCGTGTAACGTCTCACCCGAAGGACAGCACCTCCGACCATGCAGCACTCGACCAGCAGTGCACTTGGGTGTCAACCTAGACGGTATTAGTTCAAAATCCCGGCATCCAGTGGGGCTTCAAACCACAACCTTCGGGTTCGGAGGCAGGAGTATGACTGACCTAACCAGGCTGACACACAAAGAATGGCTTTAAACCCATTTTTCCCCCATTCAATGGGAAAGCTTTTGGATGTGGTTCGCAAATTCCACGTATGAGCCCTGTTTGCATGTAAGTTGGCTCCCAGCGCAAATCAGGATAGAAATTGGATACCAACATAATGCAGCCAGCAGAGCTTTCAGTATTTAAAGCCTGGATTAACGTTGGACAATTTGAGCAAATAAAATGGCAATTGTGCCATAAATCAACTGCAATTCAAAGAAGATTTATTTTCTCAATTTCTAGATCCGCCCAAAGAAATACTCCAGCCCCCGGTGGTAGACGGTATTATTAGTAAAAAATAATAAAAATAATCCTTGCATTTGATATTTTTGCATTTGATGTTTCGCCCACAAAATATACAATCATTTTACTTTACAGTGTATTCAAATGCAAGGATTATTGTAAGGACTGTTACATTATTATATGACGCCTTTCACATCAGGGAAGCGCTTCACAGGATTTTACTGTAAAGTGTAGTGACTGTCTATTTTGGAGTTCTCAGTCATGTACCGGCCAGCCCTGTATTTCGATCTCGGGAGAGGTAATCTAGAATATACTGTAAAGTGAATTGACTGTGTATTTTGTGGGTGAAACGCTTTGAGACATCCTCCTGAATGCTAATATGCAAAGCAAGGATTATTATTCTTATAACTCGGACAGACTGCATGGAACTGTTCTCTGATGTCTGAACTTGGATTCAAAGTGAAGTCAAGCGGAGCAATTTCAACCTAGTTCCTGCCTTGACTCAACTGCAATGCACAAAGATGTCCACAATAAGGCACTAATTGGCATTAAATTAGCGGTTCCCTTCAGAGCCGCTGTGAGGATAGTGAGTGTGCGGAGGAGAAAATGTCATAGTGTTGCAAAAAGGGACGCTTCTCAGAAGATGGGGGTCAAATCCTATCATTACAACAGTGTCTGTCGAGCTTTATCCTGTAAGTAACTCATGCTGTAGCCTGAGCTTAAGTCTTAAATGCCAGCAGTCACTGAGAACAAAATTGTTCCTTTTTTCAGCTCTGCTATCTCACCAGCTTAAAGGAAATTCGCCCAAACCCGCTCTAGACATAATTAAACGTAACATGTTCATTACTTGCGATTGGAATACGTGGGTGAAGCGGAGGAGGTTCGTTTTTTTAATTAAACACTTTTTTATTAAAATGACATTCCCACTGACTAAGCATGAATTTTCTTAGCGTTGATGGGATTCTTGGCTTATACTATTCTTTTTAATAATTTAATAATCCTCACTTTCGATCTGGTGCTTTATCCCGTCCTCGAGATGCTTCAAGGCACTTCGCAGGAATTTATGGTGAAGTGCAATGACTGCGTATTTGTAAGTGAACGAGGCAGACAGTTTGCGCACAGCGACGTCCCACAAACAGCCATGAATTGAATGATCAGTTTTATCCGAGGGATTGTTGGCCAGAACATCGAGAGAAAACCCCTTCTCTTTTCAAATAACTCGACGGGATCGCTAACGTCCACCTGAACAGAACAGACGAGAACTTGGATTAACGTCTCATCCAAAGAAAGGCACCTTCCGACAATGCAACACGCCCCCAGCACTGCATTGGATTGTCGGCATAGTTTATATGGGTTCCAAGCCCCGATGTGGGACCTGAACCCACAACCTTCTGACCTGACTACGAGGAGAGAGAGTGCTCCCAACTTAGTCAGGCTGACACGTAGTTATTGGCGTAGTTAGAAATTATAAGACAATTTAAGGCTACTTAATGAATTCAGAAGTGTGGCATTTAGGCTGTCCAGACTCTGGTATCTAGGGAATAATGAGGTGTATTAAAGTATTCCATTTAAATGTGCAGTTAACATTAACATTACATGAGATTGAAGCTATTAAACTGAGGTCATTGTACATTGTCTGTACAGGACTAACATTTGCTAACATTAACCTATGATGTAGCTTTCTCCAGCCGTGTTCCAGTCAAATTTCCAATGAATAAATCTCCTTGCGTTTGATACGTCACTGATGTGGCTCAAAGCGCTTCACAGGAATTTGCAAGAAAGTGTAGTGACTGTGCATTCGGTTTGCCCACAAAACACAGAGTCACTCCACCCTCTGGTAATTTCTGGAAAGAAAGTGGATACTGTAAAATGAAATTGACTGTGTATTTTGTGGGCGAAACACGGCAGCAAATTGCGCACAGCAGTGGCCCCACAAACAGTCGTGGATTGAGCGACCATATTTTTGGGGTTTGTTTGTTTCTTTTTTTTCTTGAGCGATGTTTAGCCCCGGAAAGTGATCCGCCATACGCTCGATTAACAACCTATTGTTAGTTCCTATTTACTGCTAGGTAAAGCGGAGGCGTGTGGAGTTAAGGAAAAAAAAATTTCCCCTTCGAATTGCTTTCGCCGTGAAATTGATTTCGCCGGCGTTGTTAAGCTCTCTGAGACCCCACCTCGGGCGAAGGCCGCTGTATAAATGCGAGAGGCGGTCATTGTTGATGTTGTCGATGTCGTCGTTGCGGAACACCGGTTACAGAGTTCACTCCTGGTTCTGTTTACGCTGTAGCAATGAAGGCCGGTCAGGACCGGGGAGAGACTTACGTGGCAGGTCGAGAAGCAGCAGCCCCAGAGTTTGCTCCAAGGCCAACGACAAGCAGGTCGTCTATGGCAAAGGTCGTGCCTCTTCAGCTGGGTCACCGTGTAAAAGCCCCCGGAATAAACCCGGCAAATCCGCTGACAAAATAGTGAGTACTGAGGCCAATTTTATAGCTTGCACTAAGATCAAGATTAATAGGAGATGAAAATCTTTATTCGGGCCACATAAAATAAAGGGCGGTTGACAATTCAAGACACGTGTGTATTGATTTAATAAATAGAATTAGTTAGACATTCCCTCTCCAGCTCTCCCCACCCTCCCCACCCCTCCCCGGGCCACCCCTGTCCTGCCCCGTTTCTCTCGTCCTCCGCTGGTTGCTTTAACTAGACCAAAACGTGACGTTCTCTTATTTTGGGACTTTTTTTCTATCAAGAAGCCTTTTGTTTTATAATAATAATAATAATAATAATAATAATAATAATAATAATAATAATAATAATAATAATAATAATAATAGGGAGACATCTCAAAGCCCTTTGCGGAATATACTGTCAAGTGAATTTTCCCCGAGTCGCTGGTCTGTAGTAAACAAACCCTTGTTGCCCAGTCTCGCATTCAGCTTGATATTAAAGAGCCGGGCACCAATGCTGCTTTAAGTGATGATGTACTAGATTCAAAGGCATGAATCTGGTGCAGCCCAACAGAACCCTCGCCCAGCCCCTACCCCAACCCTCCCACCCCCAACCCCACCCCCAACCCCTCGCTTGATTTCAGCATTATTAAACAACTTCCAACCAATTTAAACGTCATTGGCGGGAGAGATTCGAGGGTGTGCCCTGTTCCGCACTGTCATTTTGCGTGGTCCGAACAGTGTGGCTAAGTGACTGACTGAACAGTATTGCGTTTTGAAGGTTATCACTGTGTTTTCTTATGTGTTAGCATTTAGTTTGGTATAATCCTCTGGACAGGTGTTAAGATATTAAAAGCAAAGTGTGAAGAGGATTGCTGCATGTTTCCGAAATGGGGGAATCTGCATTGGGGCAATTTATAACAATAATGCTTACATTCGATATAGCGCCTTTCACGTCAGGAGGATGCCTCAAAGCCCTTCACAAGTTTATACCGCAAAGTATATGTCGCGGGTGATCGCGGCAGTCTTTTTGGGATCAACAATGTCCCACAAAAAGTCATGAAGTGATTGACCAATTTTCTTACTTGGGGGAATTCTTGGCCAGGGACACCGGGAGAAACTCCCTTCTCTTTTCGAATGGGACCTTGGGATCTTTAACATCCACTCAAACGGGCAGTCGTGATCTGGGTTTAACCATCCGAACGACGGCACCTCTGAAAATGCAGCTGCCAATCCCCTCCCCCCCCCCCGCCCCAGCATTGCACTGGAGTGTCAGCGTAGAATATAAGCGTCCAAAGCCCCAAAGTGGGGGCTTGAGCCCACAACCTTCTGACCTGACCCGGAGACGGGAGTGCCTCCGACTGAGCCAGTCTTGAGCTCTGTGTAAAATTAACATGTTAAAGTTGCTGCACAGTGAAACCTCATTTCATCTCGCTGAACGCAAACATTGTAATGTCACTTTTTTCCCCATTCCTTCATAGCAGTGTGTAGCGGGGACGCTGGTGGGGGGTGGGGGGTGATGGGGAGTGGTGTGGGTTGCGGGGCGGTGTAGGGGAAGACGGCTGATTCATTTAATTTAAGGGAATAACTTGCGTTGACACTCGATTTATCTGCAACAAAAATTCATTAGAAGAAATAAAAACATATGCGGGGTAACAGGACATTGTGAACACCGTGTACAAAGTGAAAAGTAACTTTGTGTGAGAGCATTGTTGTGAGCTGAAAGCACTGTTGAAGTCAAATCCAATCTATTTTGCTGCATGTGTGTGCGCGTGTGTGTGTATGTGTGTGTATGCACATGTGTGTGTGTGTGCAATTGTGTGTGTGTGCGTGTGTGCGCAATTGTGTGTGTGTGTGTGTGCATGTGTGTGCGCATGTGTGCGTGTGTGCGCATGTGTGTGTGTTCGTGTGTGTGTGAATGTGTGTGTGAGCGTGTGCCCTAACCATTCTGCGCAGTGTTTCCTAAAATTTCCTTTTTTGGTTCGAAAGTGAGCAAGGCCCGAAATGAATACAGCATCAGTCCACAGGGCAACCTCCAAATAATGTGTTGGTATATCAGAGGTAATAATAATAATAATTTCATTTGATGTAGCGCTTTTCACGTCTTTGCGACGTCTCAAAGCGCTTTGCAGAATAGACTCTAAAGTCAAATTGACAGTATATTTGTGGGCGAAATGCGGCAGCCAATTGCGCACAGCAGCGTCCCACAAACAGTCGTGGATTGAAGTAACCAATTTTATTATTGTTTTTTTGTCTTGAGGGGTTATTATCAGGTGGGTGAAGTAAGGAAATTTGCCCAAGGTTTCGCCCTGTCGGGAATCGAACCCAGGTCTCTTGCTTGCGAGGCGAGTGCCCTAACCACTGAGCTACAGGACTCCACTGGTACCATGGACATAGGGCAAACCCTTAGGGCAAGGATATCTGCTTCAGATCTCTTATTATTAAACGGTTCATGTGGGGTTATGAAAAGCATGTGCCGCCTCTTTGATAAAGGGCCTAATTTATTTTATAAAAATAATCCTTGCATTTGATAAAGTGTTTTATCACTTCCAGGCGTCTCAAAGCACTTCCCAGAATATACCGTAAAGTGAATTGACAGTATATTTTGTGGGCGAAAATCAGCAGCCAATTGCGCACAGCAGCGTCCCACAAACAGTCATGGATTGAGTGACCAATTTATAAATTTTTAACGAANTTTTTTTTTAGGAAGGGCTTATTACTCCCGGAACTACCTGGGTTCCTACTTACTGCTAGGTGAACAGAAGGGTGCGGAGTAAAGAAAATTGCCCAAGGTTTCGCCCTGCCCGGGAATCGAACCCGGATCCTCTCACTTTCGAGGCGAGCGCTTTAACCAATAGACTCCACTTGCGGTGTCTCTTAACCGATTTCCTAATAAGAAACGGTTGTTTATCAAATTTCTGTAATGCGGAGCGTGCTACTGGCTGATTATTGAATTTCTGAAACATCATCGACTGTGGTGTGAACGCATTTGACTTTTCGAAGTCTCAAAGTGCTTAAGTTCGTTGCACATGCATTTCTTATTAAGAAATCCGTCAGCGCAAATTAGAGCCGGGTATTCCCATGGGTAGGTTGGGACAATCACCAATGCCTCCAAAAGACACACACAGAGACAGAGAGAGACAGAGAGAGAGACACACACACACACACACAAATACACACAGACACACGCAGAGCCGGAGAGAGCCACGCGCACAGAGAGGTAGAGAGACACACACACAAGCAGAGCCACACACACACACACAGGCAGAGAGAGAGACACACACACACAAAGCCACACACAGAGAGGCAGAGAGACACACACACACACACACAGAGACACACACAGAGAGGCAGAGAGACACACACACACAGAGACACACACACAGAGAGAGACACACATAGACACACACACACAAACACACATGCACACAGATACATACAGTGTATAGTTTGGGACACAACATACAAAGCGACTGCCGGGATGTTGGAAGGCGAACTAGATGGACCTTGGTCTTCTTGCGCCTTATAGCAAATTCTTATGTACTTATGATCACCGGATTCCCATTTTAGAATTCCGAGACTGGGAGCGAGGGCGCCGGGCAGACTGGAAGAAACAGCTGGGATAGAGCTCTCTGTTCCTCCCAGTTGCTGCTCCCCAGTTCCTGAAGAGACACGGCTAAACCAAAGAGATATCGCGTTACAGCCGAGACAGATTTAGAATCTCGAATGTTTCCAGGCTCCTTTTATAATGCAAGTCTACATTTACGTAGCGCCCTTTCGTGTCGGGAAGATGGCCCAAAGCGCATTCAGACCCATTGTCGCGACCCAGAGTAAGTTTGCTGCATTATGAATAAACGCAGTCATTTTAAGGACATTTCGTCCGAGCTCTTTATTAATAATAATAATCCTTGCCTTACGGTTAGCACCTCGTCACGTTGTTGAGACGTTTCAAAGCGCTTCACAGAATATACTGTAAAGTGAAATGACTGTGTATTTTGTGTGCAAAATGCAGACTCTTTAAGTGGAGTCTCCATGAGCGTGAGGAAAACTTAATCGAATCAGTGGAGATTCGTGGAGCAATGTATTTAACCATCGACTCATGAATCCATGAGAGAGGAGAGAACAGAGAAAAATAGTGGATCGGGTTAGGAGGGCTGAAGGCTCGTGTGCAGAATAAATACCAGTGCTGACTAATTGAACCGAGTGGCCTGTTTCCGTGCAGTACAATCTGTGTAATTTCTTGTAATAAGTACGAGAGATAAATTTCATCTGCTTATTTTTGAGTTGCGTGGCGTCGATAATAAGAATAATCCTTGCAATTGACTGTGTATTTTGTGGGAGAAACACGGCAGCTAATTGCGCAAGGCAGTGGGTGACCAAATTATAATTTTTCTGAAGGGAATATTACTTCCCGGAGAACGCTGCACCAATTGATCATTTTATTTTATTTTATTTTATTTTATTTTATTTTATTTTATTTTATTTTATTTTATTTTATTTTATTTTATTTTATTTTATTTTATTTTATTTTATTTTAAGTCAATGAAAGGCTCCCACCAATTTCTGGGGAAAAGATAAGGTGGGGAAACAGTGAGGATGTTGAATACGACATCCTTTACATAACAACAACAACAACAACTCACATTTAATATAATGCCCTTTACGCTGGACCGAGTCTCGGAGAGCATATAAAGAGAGTTAACCTGTGAAATATTCATCTTAGGTTGGTTGTATGACCACTGGTAATACAATATACAGCCCGAGTGCTATTATATATTTAGAGTTGATCTTTATAAAGGTCGCCCCAGTCTTTTTATTGTAACCACAGGAGGATTGGATTAATGCGTTGGAAACTATGGAACAGAATGTGGGTCAGAGCTTGAGACTTTAAAGAGGTAGTGCCCATTTGTCAGATAGTTGGCATTATTTGCTCCAGCAGAAATAATGTAACCTCTCCTTTAATCTTGCTCCAGAGCATCTGCGAAGCCAGATGGCTGTTGGCAGCTTTGAGGTTTGAG